ATGTTCTCTGTGTCCACCTGTTCACTGTTCACCCTGGGGACCAGGTCCAGGCCAAGACGACTGGAAACAAGATCAAATTACATACATAAGTATTCTGTACTTAAAAACTAAAAGCAAAAGTCAAACCCAACAACCAAGTTAAACCTAGGAACTGACACATTAAATTTCTATTTTGCTAAAACAGTTAAAAGATTCACTTAAAAGTAAAAACCCCAGACAAGATTGTCTCACCCATTCCCCCAGTCTATCTTGGCTGTGATCTTCTGTTTCAGTTCTCTAGCCTGGTCCTGTGTCAGTGAGTCCGACATCAACTGCCGCCTCCAGTCCATCAGGTCCAACATCACCTTCTTGAATGTGTCGAACACCTGTTTCTTCCTCTCCTGTAGGGGTACAGAGAAATATGATGTCATATGCAGAGATGAGAGTAGATCAATTTTAAATCAGAGAACAATTTCATCAGCTTTGTTAGAATAGAGTAATTTTTTTGGCATTTCTCCTGGATAGAGGTTATTCACTTGGATAGCCTCATAACCTGATAAGGACGCTCTGAGACACACTGAAATATTGGAGGCAATAATTAGCTGTCAATGCAAGCTGTTGATTGAAAACCCTTTTAAAAATTTACTAAAAATGCATGCACCGAAGTTTTAAGTTTAAAATTAAAACCTACAGGCACACCAAAATTGATTAAAAATTTAGAAAATTAGAAAAGCACCAAGATACTCATATAAGTACGTATGTATGATTTTTATCATTAAATGAAGTGTAATGAAAATGCTTGTGCTTCATTTAGCAAATAGAAATACTACTTAAGGTGTTTAAGTAGTGAAAAAATGCAGCTAAATTGAAATAAATCTGCAGAACTAAAACGCCATATCAGTGGACCTATGGTCATGGCAGACAAGAAAAAATGTAGACATAAATTGGTGGCGACAAAGAAGCTCAAGTGGAAATATCTAACTAGAAGAGCTACACACATCAGGCATGAGATTGCCTTGGGAAATATATCTGAAATATTTTGAAAGCAGATTACTGCACTATTTTCACTGAACCATGGTAAAAGAGTCTGAATTTGGCCAAAAGTCTGGAAAATCCCATGCTCATTCTAATTCTGTTGGAGGAGCAAGTCAGTAAAGTGGCATTTCTTTTTTGTTGTTTCTGAATATTTCTTTGCTATCTGCCACTTCAGAATTACTCTTGATGGACATCTTATATGACTGAAGAAATAAATAAGAGCTAGCAAATCACTCAAGATTTGGACTAATAAGCTCACTGTTTATTTTCCCAAGAAAAAATCTTCACCAGGCATTGTTGTAGAGTGAGCTTGGTCCAGTTTTTGTTTGACTACAGAAATAAAATTTAAAAAGAAAGGCTGGACAGAAGCTTGGTACAAAATGGAAGGAAAGCCTACTGACACCATTAAAGAAAGACCATCAAATTTTCATATATAATCTTATTTTCAAGTATTTTCTACTTTTTCATCTCTACTGGAAAAAGAAAAACTTCTGCAACCATGAAAAACATTTTCTCATCCCTTACCACAAAGTGTCTCTGCCATATGTGCCTCCATTCTCTCAGAACATAGGACACCTCATGGACTATACTGTCTTCTACTGGAATCACGCTCTCATATGGTCTGAAAATATAATGTTTGTCAATGGATTTAAAAAGTACATTTATTTGTCTGAAATAATAAACTCTGACAAAAATATATAAAAATAAATACATTTCACTAAAATTTATCACACAAAATGGCTAAATTCAAGAACTGAATAGGTTTTAATGCAAAGGATTCAAGGATTCAAAGCCATGCTAATATTGGTTAACATTGCTTAATGTTTATTTAACATACCAAGCAAAATATTCAAGATGTATAACCTGTCACCAGAAAAGAATTCTGTGTTGATGAAAACCATAAAATAATGTGGTTATTTAAAGTACTAGTAGCACATTAAGCTTATCTTGATGTGCCACTTTAATTTTCACCTTCATAAATGATGCAGAACACCTCCATAGGGAAATGTTGTAACACAACCAGGTACTTGCCTAATTTACCAACTACAGCAATAATACAACAAAAATTTATGATTTTCGCTGATCATTAATTCAACTTTTTTAGGTTTTGATTTATAAACATAATGGAAAAGGAAATGTTGTTGAAAATAATGATTATTTTATTAAAATATGATGACAACCCATCAGTGCGTTGTCAGAAGTCTTGTGTTCCTTTTATCCTATAATTGCAACATTTGCACATTACTTTGGGTATCCTTACAAAAAGCTCTTCTGGTTTCTGGTAAATCAAAGCTGGCTGTTCCCTCAGGAAAGAAGCCATTTACAATGTTCTCCAAGCATTGGCTGCATCGTTCATCACATGTGATTGCTGTCAATACTCAGTTCCGTGACACCCGATAGATTACATTTCTCAGTAACTAGAATAATGCAGGTAAATAAATATCTTTCACTGCTATAACTGTTCCATGGCAATTTTTCTGTGCTATCTATTCTTGCAGTATTTCAAACAGGTATAATGTTTACAAATTTTTAATCAGTATTTTAAAGACGTATAATGTTTACAACTTTGAAATCACTGAACTTCACTCATGAACTTCCTTGCTTTTTTTTACATCAAGGTCATTCAGCTACAAAACAAAAGAAAATGTACTTTGATCTTGGATCATAAGATAACTCCATCTTAAAGCAACAACCTTTACAATGACAAATCTTAATCCCATGTGGAGACAAGACATCAATAATTTTCAAATCTGATCAACCTGGTACAATTGATATCATATGACATTTCACTGACTGAGACGACTGAAAATTAGCAATCCCTTTCTTTATCTATTTGACTCCATAATGGAAAGGTCACTCTATAATTCAACTCAGACCCAAGGGTTTAGACCGACATCTTCTGCAGATCCTTAATTCTATCTGATCAATAAGTCTGCAAAAGTCAACATATGGCAAATGATAAAGATAAAAGATGTTTTCACTACAAAACCATCTTAGCCAAATTAATGAGTTTCACCATTTGGCAAATCATCATTTCTGGAATGAGGCTTCACTCAACTGATACGTCTGGTGTAAAAAGTACAAACAATTCCAGTTGGCTCCTATACGACTACCAGATCTAAACCAGGTTTTAATATGTCATAATTTTGTGTCTTAGATGACCACATTCAGTGTTAGCTCACATTTATCCATAAGCCAAATAACTAAGGCTTCCCAAATCTTTGAAAAAATTGAGAAATATAAATCTTTCAAGTATCCTCCCTGGCATTTGGTGATTATCTCTCATGTCAATATTTGCCTCACCTGTACAACATGCTTAAATTGAGGTGAATGTACTGAATGGCTAACAACCTTCAGAAAAACTTTTATAAATAAATAAATAAATAAATAAATATATAAATACAAATTAAAATAAATGAATAAATAATTTATTAATAAACAACAAACAAATAAATAAATAAAGGTCTTTTTTAAATCTGGCATAAAGAACTCTCCAGCAATTACCACTGCAAATCTATCTCATGCTTCATCAGCTCTTCAGAAATTGTCTATTGTGCTTCTTAATTGTTCTCCGAGTGCATCCTTCAGCGCTGTCAACCATTTTGTCACAAGCGCTGAGTCACTGATTGTATGCAGTGTCAGGTTTCCTGGTATTCAGCATTACCGAGATTGGAATATGAAGTACTTAGTAAACTGATTATGAAGGTTTCAGTGTTTTTAGTGCAACTCTGTACCATGTAATCAGGTCCTATTTTGTCTCTAAAGTATCAATCTTCTAACTCTGATATAGTCTCACCTGACGAGAAGGCAATGCCTGCAGGAGCCTGGGTTCCAGGAACTGACAGGTAATCAGAGTCTAAGATACTAGTTACATGAACCAGGTAATGTCTAGGAAAAGATCAGGTATTAACATTCTGTATGATGCACTACTATAAGTGTGAAAAGACGACAAATATCTTTTGTTCTCAGTTTTCTTTTATTTCCTTAATGTTTATCCTTCTAACACAATTATTAATCCAACTTTGAATTCAGTTTCTGTTAATTTGCATACTGTGTCATATTTCTTACAGCTTTCTTCTAACAAGATCACAAACTGAAGGTACAAACTGTCTTAAAGCCTGTCTTTGTTTTTATTGCAGATGAGAACTCTGCTGTTTAAGTCCCAGATGTGCTCCTCTATGAATACAGAGGGAATTGAAATCTACTGTTAATTATTCTCAAGCTGTGCAAAATACGCCCATGGCTCACCTAAGAAGTGATTTCTTATCCAAGAGGATTATCCGCTAGTTCACCTTTATAGACTAAATTTACTACAATCCTAGCAATTTGTGAACAAATCTGTCAAAACAAATTTTATATAATAAGGTTCTATAGAAGCTTAGCTTTTTATTGCTACAACTATTCAACACTACACTAATGATACCAAATGACATTTTCACATTGAATATATGATTTCTAGGAACCAAGTATTTTTGTAAAGTGATCTAACAATATAATCAGTGAACAGCACACAGCTGGTTTCAATTTTACAAAAGATATCATTAAAGACATCTGATAAACTGCTCTCCCTTGAGGTGTAAAAGTAAAGTTAAGTATGATAAATTCATCAACACACACACACACACACACACAGAGAGAGAGAGAGAGAGAGAGAGAAAGAAAGAGACCGACTGACTTAGGACTCCAATAACTTGCCCTATTCAATCATGATAGCAATAAAAATGCTCCATCACAGAAACCTTGTCATACGCCCACATCAGCAGTTCAAAAGAGAGTACCAGACATTTTGAAATAAATGAGATAAGTGGAGATCAAACACTTCCCAATATATATATACATATACTAGAGCTAGCAATCAATGTCTTACAGCAGGACAATGACAAAACGGTGTCTTTGAGATCACAAATCAGTAATGTTGGACGTCTGCGACAGGTACAATTTCTCTATACTCAACTTGACTTTAACTATAGAACTGCCTTTGCACACACTCGTCTGTTAGTTTCCAAGTGTCAGGATCTTGAAGGGGGGGTGCAAAAGGGATATTGTCACCACAAAAAATACCTATTTATTACCATTGTGGCTGCATAGTACATAATCCCCATATTTCATGAATAAATTTGGCACCGTCAGGGAGTCTACATGAACAATCTTATCATAGTGAATCCTGGCAATACAGGCAATAACAGGAAATTAAATACAACTCAGTGTTTCCTTCATATCTTTTCTGTATGAATCCACAAAACTAGTCATCTCTCTCTAAAACCCAGCTCATACACGAAATCCGAGACTATAGACCAGTCTATATCTGATGACACAATTCAGACCAATTAATCCAAAACAGTGATAGTGACATAAATTAATCCATATTTTAATACATATGTAGTTCTGTATATAATTCTTAATAATTTCCTGGTATTCAGCATTACTGAGATTGGAATACAGAACATGACTTCAGTAGAACATAAATTGCACAATTTAGAACAATCTACAGTATTTCTGATGACAAAATTTAGACCAGCCTATAGTCAATTTTGTGTATAAACCACTGTAGTATATACTTACCCTTGATTGTCTACTTTGCATGGCTTCAGGTGAATATATTTGGCTGGAAAAATTCCCTGAAAAATACAAAATATGTGCCTCTTTATTGTGTGATAAAAACAAGTAAGAAATTTTTTACAGAAGTATGAAGAGTTAAATTTATTTTCAAAGGAATGGAGAGGTGAAGGTGGTATATGGTCCAGCTGAACTTTTAGTTGGATAACTTTTTTTTTTTTCCAATGCAACATTCAGATAGCATTGATTTATTTTATTATCTATGTAAAGGTAGAATGATAATATGATATAGACCAGAGGGAGAGCCTGTTTTTTTTTATACAGCTTTTTTTTAAAAATAAATATTATATATTGAACTGAAAGCATCTTGTCAAAGCAGTATGATTTGCAGTGACAGATCACAAAAATGCATTTCTGACTCCACTGATTAATTATCTTATTTACTGAAAACTAATTTAAAACTAGTCTTGGAGGAATCATTTCCATTATTTTTATTATTTCGTTACAAAAACTAGTCCAAATATCTGTCTGTGACCAGGAAGTCTACATAGTTCTGTCTCACACTGACAGTCACGTAGCACAGATAAGGATGTACCTTCTATACATAGTTACTATCAGATATATACTAAAACAGCACACAATGATAAGCAGAGCATATCAGGGCACACGGAAAGTCTCAGCAAAAATGTCTTTTTTTTCCATAGGCACATCTTTAAGCCTGAAATGATATTCTGTATGGGGAAGTTGTTTCACCTGACAATACCTGCCGTGAGACCAGGTGAGACCAGGTGAGACCAAGAGACTGTGACCCACTGAACCCTGGTATTATTTAGTCATTTTCAAAATTATTGCACGACACTGCAGAGACTTATGCAAGGCATTGAGTGCATTTTGGAGTTTTTATTTTACTTGCTATTTTATTATCACTGCTAAATACTTGACATTATTTGGCTTTGGACAAAGTACTTATTAGAATTGCACAAGTTTTTTTTACTATTTAACTTGATTTTTAATTTATTTAGTAGTTTTGGACTATTGGATGTTTGATTTAAACTGATAACAACTCTAAGTATGAGATTCGAGTTCCACAATTAATACATGGTAAACAACACCAAGAAATATAACTAGAGGATCAGAGAGGCGATACCGCCTCCGAATATTGTACCACCAGCTGGAGCAAGCGCATTTGTATAGACCCCCACATACACAAAATAAGGGACACAGCCACCAGTCTTTTGCTTGACAAGCTGTAAAAATGCAATCAACAAGAATTTTCAAAATATGCAAAAAAATATATATATAACTTAAAATGGTACAATCAAAGTTAAGTTCATCAAAAGGTAGGTCAAAGGTCAATTTCACAGTAAGATTGCCAGTATATGACTTCCTATTCAAGTTCAATAGTAACAATGGACCTATCTCTGCCAGGTTAGGAGTTAAAAGAGAAAGAAATTAGCAGAGTTCAGTTCATGGTGAAAAGTAGGTCAAAGGTCAATTTTAAGGTCACATTTAGATTGCCAGTATATGACTTCCTTTTCAACTTCAATAGTAACTATGGACCTATCTCTGCCAGTTTTGGAGATATAAGGGACTAAATGGTATAATTTTGGAGTTACCATAGTGTGCCATAAATTTCCTACAGAAAAAAATTAATTAAGATAAAGAAAAGGTCATTTTGGTCAAAATTCTTGAAATGGGAGGTGCTTTGAAGTTCCAGATGTTCAAATTTGATGAAATAATGTCATTTTTGACCACAAGTTGTCTGCTTTGCCAAGCCCGCACATTTTGCTTTCACCACCAGTATATGACTTTTTGATAAAGCGTAACTCGAAAACCGTATGGAATACAAAAAAACGGAGACCACCTCCAGTGTTGGGCTTTACATGCTCTACAAAATGCAAAAAAGAATGGGTGTCTAGCATTAACGGTTCCCGAATTAGAGACAATTTTCAGTTTTGATATCTTATGGCCGCTACTCCCGTGAAAATGCACCGATTGACCCCAAATTCACGGAGATGAAAGATGACCCGAAGGGTAACACTTTCCATTAATATTATTAGTTAAGTCTGTGTGGTGTCTGAATAAGAGCGCAAAAAAAATTTTTTTCGGCAAAAATTTTGTTTTTTTGAAAATTTTGGCCCGTTTGACCTTGAAATAAAGGTCAAAGGTCAAATCCAAGGGCATATTTGAAATCTACACATATGACTTTTGGAAAGCTGTCTGTAGAAATTTTTCCCATAATTCCTTCCGTAGGGGAGATAATTAGCATTTAATTTTGCCATTTTTGGACAAGGGTGCATTGCAATGAGTGCCACACCTAGACTCCAATACCGACAAAGCCCAAATTTTACGTGGAACGAGTTGAGATTATAGGTGACCTAAATCCAGGAGAGGGGTATGGAGGCCCTTACCGTCTAGGAGGAGAAGCGGTAACGGTGACTTGGCGGCGGAGCCGCAGGAGCCGGCAAAGCCAGCGGAGCTGCAGGAGCCGGCGGAGCCGCAGGAGCTGGCGGAACATACGGGTCGGGACTAAAACCATGAGTACCACCAGCGCCTACGCTGGTGGTACAATAAATTCCATTTTATCACCAAAAACAGAAAACGGAAAAATCATCATTTACCCCAGGTATAATATATTTGATGGGACTTTCCCTATCGAAATAAAGAGTTATTATCCCTTTATTCTTTTTCTAATTTTGAAAAAAAAATCAGGCAATTATACAATTTTTCTTAGCCTTAAATCTAAATTAACTGCAGTCTGCCAAACTTTCCCATAAGGATTCTACATTCCAATCTGTCCATTTTTCAATATATATATCCACAGTGCCCCATCAAAGCACCTTGGTTTCTGAAAACCTACTGTTTTTTTTCAAACAGCCTATAAATATTTCATGAGGCTGTATTGTTCCTTGGTCTGAGTCACAGCTGTCTGCAGTCTTAATTCATTCTATTATACAGACTTATTACAACTGAGTCTCACAAGACTTTAGCAGCAGCTGGGAGCTCTTTTTTTTTTCTTGGTGGATATTTTATTTTTTTGTCATTCTTCTTCTTTTTCTGCATGTGGTTGGGGATGTGTAAGCCTTCCCGTAGTGCGGTACGTGCTGCCAGAAGGAAGACCAAACATTCAGTTTATGTCCCCATTCCCACAAAAACCAATGGTCTACAGACATTGACCCAACTCTGCGGGGATTCAAGCTGAGTGTAATCAGCTTAACTGAATGACTGCCTCCTCTTGTTTCCAGTGTACTTGTATAATCACCAGATTTTCTGTATTCTACTTTAAGCCAGGAGGAGGCATGCCATACAGTTAAGCTGATTGCAGTCAGCGAGAGTCTCTGCAGAGTTGGATCCATTCACGTACATCGATGGTGTCTCTGAGAATGAGGCCTATGTCATCGGGCTGGGTTCACATAAGATTGGTCTTTATTTCTAGATGTACATTTTTGACTACTTCAATCAGGGAATTATATCCGATATAATTCCCTGCTTCAATTCAGGATAATTCTTTACTGGTCCACTAAAATAAACTTCTTTGTGGTCTTAAACATTAGCGGTCTTCTTTTTAATAAAATGGACCCTATGTTTCATTTATGTGGGCTATATGTCAGAGTTAAAACTAAGCCAAAATAGACAACACAGTTAAGACCATCTTTCTATCTTTTTCTGTGAAATAAGCCTCAGCTGCAAGCAGCACAACAGTAAGATGGTTTATTAAATTGCTAAGCAAAACATCACCACAATAATTTCAAGACATAAGTGTGTCATGGAGACCCGTTTCAGGTGTGCAATACTGAGTAATGCTCACCTGTCAGGTAAAACTGCAGGTAAGTCACACTTCCAGTTCACTGTATTGCCTGGAGTTCACATAAACACATGTCATATACCTGCTCACCTGACTTTACCTCACCTGTACAGGTATGACAACAGGTATGACAACACATATTAAGACTGGCTGTCCAATTTTGTGTGGGACTTGCATGCATGTCAAAGTGTACATACAAACCACAAGTACTCGTTTATCTTGTAAAGCACTTTAGATGTGGGATTGATAATAATTTTTATTGAGGTTGAAAAAATACTCATCACAATGGTAATAGCATCTTTGGTTGAAAAAAGAGCAGAGGTCCAGTTAGGAATCATGCAGCTAAAAATAAAGCAATACCTTGATAACAATGGCAATAGCTGGAGCCAAAGTTGTGCAGAATATGCAGTGGCACGCATACTGTAGTCATCATAATATAGAAAGCACTGAGAATAGATGGGCGCATTTCCAGTGAAACTATCATTCAACATAGATAGATCCAACTCTGTAAGGCCTATCACTGAATCAGATTTAATTTAAAAGATAAATGTGCCTCCTCTTGTCACCAAAATACTTGTCACCAGCTTTTCTGTATTCTACTCAATGCCAGTTAAACTGATTGCTTTCAACGAGAGTCCCCGCAGAGATGGATTGCGTACAATAGTTTTATTGGGAATGATCCCTCAGTCTAGATATATATACATAAATATTTCTCTGCTGACATTCCTAAGGCCTAGCTGTTACGATGTCTTTGCTTTCACAGTGACCTGGTTTGTGTTACTGATGTCTCCTACCAAACAACTGACTTGTACTGAGCCAAAAACTTGGACAGGGAGGATTATTTGCCTATTTCATATAACTACGCCCCCCCCCCCTCCCCTCACTGAGCAATTAATGGTTGCTGACTGATAAATTGCATATCTTCAAAACTAAAATTTAATGAATGGATGTTCAAATGGGTAAAAAATGGCAGTAATTGCCAAAGAAACAGACTGAACCCTTATTGTATATATGTAGGGGGAAAGTGGGGAGAGAGCCTCACCATCTAAGAGCCCAACTCAATTAAGCCAAATATGAACTAATTGTCCTCCCACTAATGTTCTGTTGGTAAAACTTTAAAATGCTCATTCACAAGTTTTGCAAAGTTAATTGGTTTTGTGTCACATTTTGTGAGTGTCTAAATACAATCACTGTTGAAAAAATAAAACATCAGTAACAAAAGTGGGGTGTTTGAAATATGATTAGCAAGCACTGTAC